AAAAAAAAAAAAAAAAATCTCATCGCATCAACCACCCCCCTCTCCGACCCACCCCCTACTGCTAGCCAATTTCGCTACCCCCACTCTCTCTCTCTCTCTCTCTCTCACACACACACACACGGACCTTCCTCACTAGTTGGAGGGCACGTTTAATATTTTCAACTGCAATACTTGCGGTTGTGGCAAATTAACTTTCATTTATGAATTTGCATGTTATTAGATCAATTTATTGGTTAGCATTTTTTTAAAATGCGTATAAATATATTGATGCTAAATGTAGAGGCTCAAGATCTATGAACACGATGATGAGTTACAAACTTTATAGTAAAGTTGAAGTGAAGGACAAGACAACATACATGCATGGGCTTTAAAATGCCATAATTAGTATCTCCAATTACAGGATATGTACTTGCACCACTACGCTCCATTAGAAAGCTCTGCCACAAAAGAGCCATAATTTACTCATAATTTAAAAGTTCCAGATTTAATTTGGTCGCAACAAGTTGCAGAGCACTAACAATAACAAAAGAACTGTTAATATATTTAACAGGACAGAAATGTTAATCATTTTTTTCTTTTTGTTTTGTCTTGTTGGGTTGCTGTTGGATTTGTTTTCAACGTACAACTTGTTCTTAAATTTCGCGGCTCTCTCTACCAGTCAGTCAACCATTTCCAGCTCCAAAAGAAGTTTATATATTAACTAAATACATTACAATTTAGCTTCCTGGTTTTCTCAGACTTTGCTCTCTCACAAAGTTCACATTATACAGCAGTTGGCTAGAAAATTGCTTCATGCTCTGTCTCTCTCCGGACAACAGAACAAAGATTCTCCAGAAAGTTCATTACTTTCCCGGAAAAGGAGAAAAAAAAAGGTTCAAACTCAAAGGGTATCTTATTCGCTATTTAAATGCGTATCTGAAGCGCTAATCTTCCGCTACAGTAGCAGTGGAAAGTGGCCATGGACGGTGGAAAAGACATGGAGGAGAAGAAAGGAAGAAACGAAGTCGTTTTGCAGATTTCGGTCACCGAAGGACAGACTGGTTTGAATAATGAAACCCGAGGCTCGAATCTTGAGCTAACGGAGCTTCGGAGCCTCAGAGTGTCAGGTTCTGCTTCTCCTTCTCCAGAGATTTCAGGGCAAAGTCTCACACCCGGTAAGCCTCCGAAAGTCCCAACCGAACCCGCTTCTCGACGAGCTTCGTTTTCGAGGTCTGCGTTCTCAAAACCCAAGTCGAGATTTGTTGAGCCAGTTCCTCCTGGTGAAATGAAGGTGACTGATGAAGATACCCAGTTGAAGTCAACTGCTAATTCGCCTAATGTGGCATCACCAAGCTCAAAAGCCACAGCCACAACTCCAAGAGACACTCTAAGATCAGCCCCCGTAACCCCACGAACACCGTTGATCGAACCGGGTGGCGAGGAAGACGATGATGATGAGGTGTATAAGACTGCCAATTTTAAGGTGCGTGAGAAGTCCGGTAAGAAGAAGTTGAAAAAGTTGGTCTTGATTGAGTTGATTGTATTTGTGTGCGTTGTTGGGTTTTTAATTGCTTGCTTGACTGTTACTAAGTTGGAGCACAAGAAGATTTGGAGTTTGGAACTATGGAAATGGTGTGTTTTGGTGGTGGTTGTCTTGTGTGGTAGATTGGTCACAGAATGGTTGATTAATGTTCTAGTTTTCTTGATTGAAATGAACTTCCTGCTTAAGAAGAAAGTTCTGTACTTTGTTTATGGATTGAAGAGAAGTGTGCAGATTTTTATTTGGTTGGGTTTGATTCTTCTGGCATGGGCTTTTTTGTTCGACGGCCACGGGGTGAAGAGGTCAAGGAAAACCTCTAGGATTCTAGGTTATGTTACAAGGGGCCTGGCTTCTTGTCTAATTGGATCAGCCATATGGCTGGCGAAGAATTTGTTTGTGAAATTAGTAGCTTCTTCTTTCCAATGCTCGAGATTCTTTGATCGGATTCAAGAATCAATCTTTCATCAGTATGTTCTCCGCACCCTTTCAGGGCCTCCATTGATGGAGATGGCAGAAAAAGTAGGAAGGACACCAAGTACTGGCCAGTTGAGTTTCAAAAATATGAAGGACGCGGCGAATAAGGGGAAGGAAGGGGCCAAACAAGAGGTGATTGATGTAGAAAAGCTCAAGAAGATTAAGCAAGACAAAGTTTCTGCTTGGACCATGAAAGGGTTGATTAATGTTGTAAGGAGTTCTGGGTTATCTACCATCTCCAACACACTTGAGAGCATTGATGAGGAGGAGGGCGAGCAGACAAATAAAGAGATTACTAGCGAGTGGGAAGCAAAGGCTGTGGCTTATGATATTTTCCTTAATGTAGCCAAGCGTGGCAGCAAGTGAGAATTTCTATCTTTTTCCAAAAAATTCCTCCAACATTTTGACAACTTGCAGTTTGAACTTTATTTTCTCACTATTTTTTTTCTATTAAATGGACTAGGCACATTGAGGAAGATGATCTCTTGCGCTTCATGAAAAAGGAGGAGGTCGACCTTGTACTTCCTCTGTTTGAAGGAGCAGCAGAAAGTGGAAAGATCAAGAGAAAAGCTTTGAAGAACTGGCTGGTAACTTCTTTATTTGGTTTTTTTATTTTCTTTTTTGGTCTGAAACTTTTCTTTATTATACTTCCAGAACTAACATTTTATGAGCTTCTTGTGATATCCAGTTGGCACACAAAATTATAAGTATTTAAAGCTACCCTTCCATAGGATCTTAATTCTATATGTTGTGGACGGTGAATTTCTATTCTTCTGTTGGTCAACAACATAGAATTTTAATTCATGACTCTTAACATTCTTCTTGTTTTCAGGTGAATGTCTACCTTGAACGCAAATCACTGGCACATTCTTTAAATGACACTAAAACAGCTATAGAGGAGCTGAATAGGCTTGCCTCAGGACTTTTGCTTCTTGTGATCCTTATTGTGTGGTTACTTCTGATGGGATTTTTGACAACCAACATACTGGTCTTTATATCATCACAGCTTTTACTGGTGGTGTTTGTGTTTGGTAATACTGCGAAAACTGTGTTTGAAGCCATCATATTCGTCTTTGTGATGCACCCATTTGATGTAGGCGACCGTTGTGTTGTTGATGGAGTACAGGTAACTCCGCAATCCTCATTTTTCAAATAACTTTACTGCTACTAAAACAACTTCACTTGACGCATTGAAACCTGACAGATGATTGTTGAAGAGATGAACATATTGACAACGATCTTCTTGAGATTTGACAATGAGAAAATATACTATCCAAATTCAGTACTGGCTTCTAAACCCATCAGCAACTTTTATAGGAGCCCGGAGATGGGTGATTCTGTTGAATTTGCTGTTGATGCTTCTACGACGGTTGACACTATCAATTCTCTAAAAGGCAGAATAAAATCGTATGTTGACTCCAAATTACTCTGCTTCTCAATTATTTATTGGAATTGAATTTCACAGTCTAAAGGTACTCTCAGTTTCGTACAACCAACTTATTATTAAGCATGTAGCATCATTTTATAGAATTACAGATAGATTTATACTTATAGCAGCTGTTGGAATTTATTTGAAACTGGTGGTGCTATTGCTCACATTTTCATGACATACAAGATTAGAGTTTAGAATCCTTGGAAACAGATAGGTTCTTGCAACGAACTTAAGAGCTACAAACTACATTTTTCGCAAGGAATCATCAATAAAAGAGGTTATGTTTGGGTGATTCTGCTATCCTACTAAAGAAGAGTTGTTTCTTTGACTGACATATTCCTAACAAGAGTTTATCAAAACAAGCACAGATGTGCAGTTTTATTAATCTATTTTGTATGTTTTGGTAGCTAGCTCCTCTTTCTTTTCTTTTTTTCTTTTGTTCTCTCTCCTCTTTTGGTATGGGAAATGATTTACTTGTGATGTGATCATGCATTGCTGTTAATACTTCAGTTTCCTATCTTACGTTCTATTTATACAAAACATCCACTGGCACATGCACACCTCTAATTTGTACACGCGAGTTGCTGAAAAAGAAAGTGAAAATTTCAGGTACTTGGATGGCAAGACTCAGCACTGGCGTCCCACCCATAGCGTGGTGGTTAAGGATATTGAGGATGTGAACAAGATGAAAATGGCACTTTACGTTACGCATACCATAAACTTTCAGAACTATGGAGACAAGAGCAGCAGGAGATCAGAATTAGTCTTAGAGCTGAAGAAAATATTTGAAGATCTTGGTATAAAATATCACCTCCTGCCTCAAGAAGTTCATGTCCGTTACGTTGGGCCAGCTACTTCAGAACTTCCACCGACATGGCGGTGATCTTTTCTTTGTGCAAGAATTTTCTCTGCTGCAAGTACGTTCCTTTCTTCTTTTACACTAATGACTCATCCATGCTTCCAGTTCAATCTTCGTTTTCATGACTGAGGACAAAGATTATACAATTGATGATCAAACACCTAAAATAAGAAAGCTTTCATAAATGCAAACTGCTTAACATCAATTTCATGTGAATGTGCAACAAGCTAGGACTCAAAAGGCACCAACACTAGCTGATGGCCTTGAAGCCTTTTAACCTTAGCTCAAATAATAAAGACCAATCAGAAACACACATAAAAAATCCAGCAATGGCTGTTGAGCTAATATAACTCTGTATGTTTGATTAGCGAAAGCAATGAGAAGCATGCCTTTCTATGCTCTTGTAGTTCTTTGTCTACATGGTCGCATTGATTATCCGGCCTCTACTTTCTTTGCATAATTCTTATAAAATGATGAAGTATCATGTCATCAACTTGAAATTTTCATCGCATTTGCTAGGGCTCAGCGCTAACGAAGAAGACTCTACAAATCTGATTGGAACCAAAAGGAAAATGTTAGGAAGTGTTGCAATTCATCTCGAGAAAGTTTTTTGAAATACACTTCTGACAAATTCGTTGCATGAAGAATGCCCAGTGGAAGGAGGAAAAGCCTCAACACTCTGATATTGAGATTTGTGAGAGAGGTGGAAACCACGATGTTGTCTTTTCAGAAACTGTTTATACAAATTTTGAGTGAATTCATGTTCATTGCAAAATTGATTGTTTAAATACATATACTCTTATAATTTATTTTTTCCTCCTATGTCTAATATGTACATTGAGCACTTGCCTCAAAATCGAGTTTCAATTGCATTGAATGCCAGAAACGGTGACGTATCGACCCTGTAGTTAGACGAGTCTGAACTAAAAAGCCCGTTAGAAATGGATCAATTAAATTGTCTAACTTGGATTATAATGGGCAAAACTTTGCGATGGCCCAATTAAACATAATTTTCCAATGTGGAAAAAATAATAATTTAAATTACAATCTATAAATATTAAACGATTCGAATGTGAAGGATGTCTACAAATTTCAGTCTGGATGGTGATTGGGCCAATAAGATAACCTTATCCACCAATCACAATTGAGAGGCTGCCACGTAGGACAAAGATAAATGACAGGGTTTCCACCTCTCATTAAGGTTGCTCTTCTTTCCACCCCCTCCATGACTATCTAGCCCTCTCTCTCAAAATCTCCCACACCACCAACAACAGCAACAAGACCTCAATCTGACCACACAAAAAATTCACAGAGAAAAGCAGTTGGTTTTGGAAGAGCAAAATGGCATCAACCACTGCAGTTACAATGGCTATGCCATTGCCCAATGCAAGCCAAAAGAGGATCCAATCCTCCTCAGAGACCTTCTTCAAGCCACTGCCAGTGAGGCCCTCAAGGGCTTTAACACCAGCAGCAGCATCAAGATCAAGTGGGAGACTTGAAGTCAAGGCTTCCCTCAAGGAGAAGGCGGTTACCGGCCTGACCGCAGCCGCGCTCACGGCCTCAATGGTGATCCCGGAGGTGGCCGAAGCCGCTTCCGGAGTCTCTCCTTCTCTCAAGAACTTCTTGCTCAGCATTGCTGCCGGCGGTGTTGTACTGGTCGTGCTCGTCGGTGCCGTAGTTGGCGTGTCCAATTTCGATCCTGTCAAGAGAGGCTGAGAATTCTGATGCAGACTTACTGTTGATGATTTTTCATCTTATTGTATCTGTTAAGCAATGGTTTATGTTTCTTTTGTAATCGTGTAATATGTGACTACTCTTCTCCTTCAACTCGTACTTTGGCCGACAACTGTGAATTATATAAGCTTCATTTTTCATTGCAATTTTCCATTTTCCATTTTTCATAGAAGAAAATAATAGAGGGCAAAGGAAAATAAAAACGCCATGAACTCAATTCAGAAATTTATATAGTTTCCCGTGGCTACGCCTACGTTTTACAAGGCCTATATATAAATGAAGTTAAATGCCGATATGCTGGCATCAATTCACAGAACAACAATTTCTGTGCGAGCTTGTCCAATACTAAGTGTAAATAATCTCCACAGAGCGCAATCTGCTGCATCTAACTAAAACCGTTAAATCAAACTTGATCATGTTCATTACCTAGTAAACTTCAAAATCATGTCAAGCATGTACTTGCTCTCTGAAGAATAGTTCACCTTATCTGCCTTAACGACCGTGATCTTCACCTTCTGCTCATCACCGTACGTCTCCTCTTTGATTTTAAGCTTGAAAAGGAATTGGTTAAAGATACTGCTCCGAACTATGTCTCCAAATCTTGCATCATCCTGCTCTTTCAACAAGTACAAGTCCTTTGCTGAGCAACCCAAGATCTCTTCCCCAGATTCCTGGAAGGCCGTTGCCCAAGTCAAACCAGTATTGTCTTGAATTTGGGCTTGAAGCAGATATCTATAATCACACTCCTCAAATTCTTGATCGCACCTGTCACACTGCCATCCTCTGTTTCCTGACCTTGACACTTTTTTGTTACACTGCCTATCTCCAATCATCAATGGGCAAGCTGTGTAACAGAAAGAATCTGTTTTAATGAAAGATATCGTGGCCTTCACAGTGACCCAATCCGGCTTATCTGATCTTCCAAGACCTTCATCCTTGATCTGAGAAACAGTTTTGCGTATCTCATTCTTACTTCCTCCTGGAACAATGTCTTTAGAAATCGACACAGAAGCAGTATCCTTGCCCCCTCGATCAAACCACTCTCTCAAGCTATGAGAGTCAGGGATATCTGGGTTTATGAACAGCTGTGTAGAATGAATTGTTCCTACGGACTTCCCACTAAAATCATTAATCTTCCCAGCTTTGACAGCTAAAACTGGAAATAACCCAGAAGCCAACATATCTTCAAGCCTTTGACCTTCCCTGTTGCAGACATCTCCCCAAAGGGTTAGCTCAACGCTCTTGCCTGACCAATCCCTTAGATTCACAATTCTTCTCTGAGTTTCCATACCATTCTTCCTCATAATAGGAACAGAAGGGTTGACAGATATCACAATACCAATAATGTCAACGATAGAATTACTATCAACATTCTCAATTTCACTAATATGCCTGAAGGAAAACTTCTGCTCTGGTATAGAACCATCTTCGTCAGGGCAGAGCTCCACAGTTGAACTTGCATCCAAAGTTATCTCCCAGTCGTTTTTCAGATGGTTGAAGTTCTTCTGGGCAGGTTTCAAGCTACCCTTTGAAATCAAGTAAACTCTACCAACCTCAATAGTATCGTAGAAGCGGTCAAGAACAGCATTGAAGCAGGTCACTCGTATTTCCCCTCCTTCAGAGTCAAGGAGATCGAAAGAGAAAACCTTACCATCTCCTCGAGCATTATTATACCGACGGGGATCCCCTTTTGCTGTGACCCTTGCCTTGATAGCCCACCTTCCCTGATAAGGATTCAGAGCATTAATAGGAATGATCCGTGCCGGTGCCTCGTTCTTTACGATTGAGCCATGATTTTTGTACTGTGGGGGTGGCTGGTAAGGAGGTTGGACAGTAGGTCGGAAATTTGGCACATTGTGAACAGAGTTTTCAGAATGAAAAGTAGGTCTGAGATTCGGCCCACGGTTAAGAGAGGTCCCTGAATGAGAAGTAGGTCTGAGACTCTGCACATTGCGTACAGATTGTTGAGAAATCATATAGTTATTGCCATCCCCGACTGAGTGCTCAAAATTGTTATTAGGCAATGCCTTTTGAGCAGTTGAACCAGATTCAACATATGGTTTTGGATCCCCAATAATCTCAGAGTCCAGTAAGATAGTTTCCATGTTCAGCACTACAATAATCCTGTACAAAGAGCGGAAAGTCAAAACTCACTGCTTTTAAGCTCTCTAGTTACATTAGTTTTTAAGTTCTCTTTTTTTCAATACAAGTTTACCTCATCATAGCTTGTGATTCAACCCAACAAAAATAAATTCCTAGCTTTATTGCACAGATTATATTCTTCGTTTCTCAAGATAGATGAACATCAAACGCATAATTGCGTACCATTGCTAACTTTGACATATCCCCAAGATCAATATAAAATACTGAATTATTAGAGACAAGATGCAAACCGACACCCCAAAAAACCTGAACATATGGTTACATAGAGTGAAACTTTTACTTCTGATACTTAATGTTAGCTCATAAACTGATTTAATCAAAATTTGAAACGTCAATTCCTTGAAACGCAAATTGCCTCTGATCACTGCTCAAACAACCACAATAATATTCAACTTTGATTAAGACTATATAGCACTCGTTTCGATTCCATAACTTAAATTCAGCTAAGTCCTAAAATCATCAGACACATTTCTAGCTTTTTCTAACCACAAGCAATTATCTCATATCAAAACCAAAATCAATCTTAATTAACCAAAAATCGGAAATGAGAGAGAGAGAAACGGACTTGCGGTTCTGGAAGTAGTTGGAAATGTAATCGGTGAGCTGGATGATGGAACCTTTCTTGACTTGGCTGGTCTTGATTCGGTCGTTGAGCTGCGTAGCGACCATGGCGTGCTGACACGAAACGGCATCGGAGACTATGAAACGGTACCTCTCCTGCTTGCCGAGGAGCTTAATATCGATTACCTGCACCAATGGCTTCGAGTTCAAGTCGCCGGCTGAGATCGCCGCGATCGCGTTCGGCGTCAGGTGCACCGGCATTCTGAGGAACCCTAGGCGTAAGTCAATTTGAGGAGGAAGACGGTGAGGCTAGTGACTTAGTCACGGGATAGAACGACGGGTAGATTTGGAATTAACGAGAGATTGTTGACGGAATGAGAGGGAGTGTAATTGGCGGGGTGTTGCAGGAAATAACCGACCGAGAGAGAAAAGGGATTTTGATTTTCGAATCGGTTTACGGGTTTTATATAGGACGCTCGAACTTTTGAAATTACAGTTATGTCACCGCCCTTCCTTAGCCTTCAAACAACTGACCCCCAAAAGAAAAAAACTTCTCTCATGCTCTTCGTACAAAGTAGATTATTTGCTCTAGAGTTCGTAATTAAATTTCACTTCTGCTTTACGATTTTAATCTGTAACAATCTTTGATTGATAAGACATACTAGTATGATAACTATATCACCATCTCACGCAATAATTTACGTATATGGAACTCACAATGCATCAACGGTCAGATTTTACTCTATACGTTTAAAAGACTAACGCTAACAAAATGTGTAGGGTTTTTCTACTCTTTATGGTACAAACCAAGCTCATGTGTGTATCAAATGCAACTTGCAAATTGTTTGATCAAACCTAGCTTCATTTAAATTTAGTAATGTACTAATGATTAGATTTCGCCTATAAGCATATGTTCATATTAATGGTCAAATTTCGCCTATATGCATATGTTCGACTAACCGTAGAAAAATCCAAAGGATTTTTTCTCCTCTTGTACAAACCATGCCCATCTATGTGTTGCAAATTGTTTGATCAAATCCAGCTTTACATTAAATTTGGCAAAGTCTGACCTAAAATACTTAATAGTAAGTCGAAGTTAGATGATTTTGGTAGAGTTGATATGGGGTTTGCTCTAACAAACATTTGTTTGCTTCTGGGGTACCAAAAGGTGGGGACTTAATCCAGTGACATAATGGTAAAGCAATGGTAGTTGATTATTTCCTAAAATCCGGAATTTGAGCCAATGGTTTTGTCAAAAAAAACTTCAATTATTAGTTCTGAGTCTACATGCCCAGATGCTTTTATTCTTTATCATTGGTTTTCCTTTCAATAGCACATTAGCCCCCCTATTCTTCTGAATTCTTTGCAAGCCCATGCCCATAGACGAACCTTACGTTTTCTCCAGTCAAGACTTGAGTTTCTTTCAGAAGCCTGCATTGCAACAAAAAATTTACTTTAGCATAGGTAGGGATGATCCATTATCCATAGAGAGTTCATGCAGAAAACATTGTCAAATTCCAGGCTATATGGACTGATATGTCACGTAATTCTTCTTAATTCGTTATGGAAATTGTAGCATTCCAACTTACGATGTGCAGATCATCTTGTTTACTACAGTGGATGACACAATGGAAGCACCATCTAAATAGAGGAGATCTCCTCTAATTCTTTCCTGGATTCTGCTGTTGAGTTGTTCAACGTCCAATTTGAGTGGTTCATCTGAAGCCTGTGTGCAGATGTTAGTAGTTAGGCATCAAATGGAACAGAATCAATGTGTTTCGATAGAAAATTCCTCCTCAGTTAATTCTAATTTCATGGTGGTTAATTACTTAATTAGTACTTACCAAAACCCATCCACATGAATCTGCATAAGATGGCACATGAGCTGTGTATGCAATCACATCTGCAGAAAAGCAACCTTTGTCATGCAACAGAGAAACAAGGTACATGAAGTTAACCGAAAATGAAAGGAAATGCTTACACTTGAACACATGTTTTATAGTGTTGTATATTGAAGTGAAGATATCCTTATGGGAAAGAATTCCTGCCAGACCAGCCTGTTCATCGATAGCGTAGAGCAAGATAAAGACACAACTTGGAAAAGTTTCAAGAAATGAACCAAAGCTACCTGATTCATACTAGTTTACTGTATTTACTTGAGTGACAAAGATGCCATTGTCTTTGAGGTGGGGTTTTATGACTTGCTCATAGAAGGGTTTGGTGTAAAGGTCATTGCAAGGCCCTCCCTCTATTGGATCTGGTAGGTCTCCCACAATCACATCAAACTTTTCTTCAGTTTTCTCTAGCTCATCCCTTCAATCACATTAATTACTCTTACATATCAGTTCATTATCAGACCAAGATTGTTTCTGGCATACATCAAGGCTTGCTTAACAACCGAAAACCAATATCTTCTGCTCATAATATCTGTCCTAAAGGCTTTCACTTGCGATTGAGAGATTAAACAACAAATTAAAGCAAAGAAAGACAAACTAGCTACTTACTTTGCATCATTGAAAACAATGTGGAGCTTATCGTCATGAAACGCCTCCTGATTTTCTGTCAGATGTTCTCGGCAAAAATCGACAACCATCTGCAATATTCATGTTAAGCAACACCTTCAGATGCCATGCTAAAGGACATTGCTACACAACCAAATAGTAGATATACATTTTAACCAACACTGATAAAAATACAGATTTGGATGAAAGCAAGATGGAAGATCTTTTTTCTTTTTTTGGTAAAATATGTGGTGAAAAGGGGGGGGGGGGCGAGGGTGGTGTCAAACCCCAAACAGCAAGATGGAAGATCATTTCGCTTTCACTTAAATGGTAAATCTCATATATATATATATATATATATGTGTGTGTGTGTGTTTTGAGAAGCATCACACCCTGTCAATGTCACACATGATAACTTTCTCTACATCTTTGTGCTTTAGTGACTCTCTTGCTGTTGACCCTTCGCCACCTCCCATTATAAATATCGTTTTTGGGCTGAAACCAATTACACAGAAATAAGACACAAAAGGGAAAAAGAAAAAAGAAAAAAGGATTAAGCTAAGCTAAAAATATATTCGCATATATACTTGTCATGTAGTAAAAGAGCAGGATGAACCAAGCATTCATGGTAAATAAACTCATCTCTTTCAGCACTCTGCAACTTCCCATCGATCACCAGAGCCTAAATATACCAACACAAAAAAAATAAATAAATAAAAGTGACCAATTAATTGATATGTGTGTGTGATTTAGAGTCCTTATTGTGATAGCTAGCCAACCTTTCCAAATCGCTTTGTGTCCAAAAGAACTATGTCTTGGAACTCGCTTGTTGCTGCATGCAACACACTGAGAGAGAGAGAAAGAGAGAATCAAAACCAGTACTAATATTGTACAAAATGAACTGATGATTTAATTTGCATGATGTGATTTCTCTCGGAATTGATTTGAATTTGATTCACCTTGCAGCAGAAATTCCAAAAGATTCATCAAAATGTAAACCCAGTTAGAAGAATTGGTTTTTTAATTTTTTTTTTCATGTTTGAATACTTGAAGGCGTACCCATTCAAAGCAAAAGACCATTTGAGATCATCTTCCAACTGCTCCTCAAACCATTCAGCATGTTGCTGCTGATCATTTCCAGTTGGGGGGTTCTGATAATTATCCTCCGCAGGGATTATTTCAAACTCAGAGAAGTGGTCCTCTGGAGGCAAAGGAACATAGAGAACCATGAGAGCAGCACACAGAAATGACAACATTGAAGAACACAAGTTACAACACAGAGAACAGAGGAGAGGACCAATTTCTGAGTATGTGCTGCAAGAAAAATGTGACAGAGAGGACCAATTTCCAAGTGTAAGTGCTGCATTAAAGGCAGCTTTGTTGTTTTATTACTTGCAGGATAAGGTTTTCTGAGTTTGGTCTTACCTTCTTTTTTGTTCTTTCTAAGATGTGCATGTGGATCCCACCTTTGCTTCACCTGAGCTTGGTCTTGCCTGCCCATTTGGTAAACCGTGATGAAGCACTGAGCCCGTTTTGCATGACTGAGAAATGTAAGCACCACTGCCTAGGTGGAAGCTCGCGTGGAACGCGTCAACCCCTTCAATCAAATACTTCGCTCCTTACATGCAAACAGTGTTTCTTCCATACACACACTTACACATGTGTTGAAGCTTTTCTTTTCCTATTTTTTAAAGATCACTTTTGTAACGTGTAAGACTTGCAATGCACGAAACCAAACACTGCCATGAATTTTTTTTATTTTTTTTATTTTTTTTATTTTTCACACAAGCAATATTAAAATAAGAGAAAATCGAACTTAAAACCTCAAACAGAGGAGTAAATCACCATATTACCATGCATAAGGCGCTGGACACGACTTTTGCTTACCTATTTAACATTCATGGAAGAATGCGGATGAAGCCTGGTCTTTTATTAGAACTATTGACTTTGAACTGGCAATTGCCGTCTTTCTTTTTTTTCGGAAAGTGAATTGGAAGTACCATATTTCCCATCAATAAAAATAACAAAACAATGTTGTGTTGGAACAACGCAGAGGGAGCTTTGACAAAAAGAAAGACAACGGGGGACAGAGAGAGGGAAGGAACATAAACAACTCTGAAAATAAGGAAATATTAAACAAAATTGTCTGAGTGCGACACAATTTGAGAAATGCTCTGTCCCATCTTTTGGTACGCAAAATTTTTCATAAGAAAACAATAAAATTAAAATACTCGAGATTGAAGTTACAAATAATGGATGACTATCTCAGAACATATGTTAAGGACTTAAGCCACAACCAGCGGGGCATCAATATCAGTTGCACCCAGAACAGGTGCTGCCACTGCTGCCGCTGCTGCTACTGCAGGCCTGAAATACTCCTCCTCCTTCGGTTGGTGGATTGTAACAAGGTCAGGTAAGGGGGTCATGGGGCCTTGCTTGCCCTTGGGATCCCAATCAAGCATAATCTTGACCTTAATACCAAGTACACCCTGTATGCAAATACATAAAGTGATTAGACCATTTATAACAGAGAACCATTTGTACAGAACAAACCAACTCATGAAGCACTACGGAAGGAAGAAACAGGTGACCTGGACAAACCTGTCTAAGGAGAACATGCCTCACAGCAGAATCGATGTATTCATTAACTGGCTGACCAGAAGAAATCATGTACCCATCTTTGAACTTCATGGACTTGGCTCTCTGTGCTCTTAGCTTTCCACTAACAATCACCTATACCAATAACATATCACCTGTTAATAATGTAACAATAACATATAACATCAAATTCAAAACGGGATAGGAAAACCAGTATCAAAAACTGCCAATGACCAACCTCGCATCCTTTGGCCCCACTTTCCATGACAAATCTCAAAACACCATAGCAGGCCCTGAAAGGAACAGTTCATGGTAGATTAGACATTAAGCATATATTCAGTATACAAAATTGCACGTAAATGGGGTCCATCCATGAATCACAATTTATCATCATCATTGGCAATTGCATTACGTAGAAAAACTGAGAAAAACCAATATCCAAGATTATGTATGTAACACTAGATGAGTGTCTGAAACCCAAGGCCTAAATAACAGTAACGATCCAAAATGTACCCTCCCTAAGGTTACAACATGAAAACCAGAGCATCTCATGAGGATTATCTCAGAGAGGAAGTAAATAAATTTCGTCATCTTCCGACACAAATTTGGTACGAAAACACCAACATGCTTTGTAGATGACATAAAACTACCATCTCACAAATTGGCAAAACAATACAGCTTATATTTCAAATACAAAATGCAAGTCAGAAACACCAGGCCAGACTAAAAGTAATGGTCCAATAGAAAGATTTGCCCTCCCTGAGATTGCAACATGAAAACAAAAGCATTTCATGAAGATTATCTCATGGAGGATGTCAATCAATTTTGTCAACTTCCGACACAAATTTGGTACAAAAACACCAATATGCTTTGTAGATGACAGAAAACAACAACTAACAAATAGGCAAAACTATACATCATATATCTCAAATGAATAAAAAATTCTACTACCAAGAAAATGTTCAAGCCCCAGCCAGAAGTTTGAACAGAAACTATTGAATTATATATAAAACCTGTAGACCTAAACCAATACAAACAAACCCCATTTGCTCTATAAATGGCTCAGTGATGAACAGAGGCTGGTCTATTAGAAACCCAGGCTAAAACACGGTTGTTAACAAGAAAGCATACAGGAAGCCATGTATAAAAATGTACCCTCCTCACGGTTACTGCATGAAAACAATGGCATTTCATGAGGATGATGGCATGGAGTATATATATATATCAATTTCGTCATCTTCCGACACAAAGTTGGTACGAGAACACCAATACGCTTTGTAGATGACAAAAACCAAATTTGCAAAACAGCGCATTATCCAGATACAGAACAAATAATAACCAACCCAAACACTAAATAAGCTCATCCCTAATCTGTCTCAACAGCACATTGTAGAATTGAAAATAACACTTCAATACAAAAGAATAGATTCATAATTTTAAACCGAAACACTGAATCAGATTGACAATATAGCTCACCAACAAAATCAAAAGCTATGAGGAAAAAAAAATGAGAGGCCTTTATTACAATTGTTCATCATTAGATCACTAATACAAATAAAAAAAATAAAGATAAAATCATATACCTGCGGACAGCGAGGCCTCCAAGAAGCTTGTAACGGAGAGACTCAGCTTGGGCAATAGCGCAAAGCCCTCTATTGTTAACCTTCTCAGCATAAAGCTCAACACTGTTTTCTGGAAACTTAAACCTCTTCTGTACCACTGAGGTTAGCTCCCTTATCCTCCTCCCCTTCTCTCCTATGGTTATTATAAAATGCACACGATCAATAAATCATCAAAATACATGCCTAAATTAAAAAGGTCACAAAAATAAAATATTTCAATAAAAATGATAAACCGACCGAGCACGTTCTGGGTACGAGTGGCTCTGATTATGATCTCGGTACGCATCGGTGTGACCCTAACTTCAACGCCAGAGTAGCCATCTTCGGCGAGCTCTCTCGTGAGAACTTCATTCAGCTCGGCGAAGAACACTCCGTCGGCGACGAACTGCAACCAAACATAAAGACAAGAGCTTTAGTTGAACCTGAGATCGAATTTTCTTGTGTTTTCTCTTGGAAACAAACAGGGTAGAAGGACTAACCTTTCGCTTCTTGCTCATTTGGGTCGCCATTGTCGCGAATGTGGAAGTTGCAGATGTGAGATCTGAAATGTGGTGGCGGGAGCTCTGCAACCCTAGCTTTGTTGACACCCGGTTTGGGGTTAAGGATATGAGGGGTTTATAAGTACAGGTGGAGATAATCGCACGGTCGATATGTTGTCAGTTTGATGAACGGATGATATTTGCTCCTATATTTTCTTCTTTTTTTTCTTTTTTGTTTGGCAATTTTAGCCGAGTACAAGGCTTTAAAAAAAACGATGGCCCAAAGGCCCAGAAATTAGCCCAAAATAGGTCTTCGTCCATTAAACTTGGGTTGGGCTGTAATGTTTAACTTCGGCCCAAATTGTTTCATTATGCTCTTAGATAATCTGTAAAAAGTTTAAGGCAAATATCTTGGTTCCATCTAGTGAGTCGTTCTATGGTGAGGGTATCATATATGGATCATATGGTTAATATGAATGTCCACATGAGAAGTCCATATATGGTACCCTCGCTATAGAATTTTGTCTAATTAATTTGTTTTTTGGATCAATAGGAGAGAAGATGGATCAAATTTGAAACCGATTATAACATTGAGAAGAAAAGTACCACTAAACAAATACCTAATTAGTAAGTTCAATTACTTTATTTGTTAGTAATAAAATAACTTCTTCATTTTTTGGTTAGGTAATAAAATTACTTAGATGCCACAAAAAATAAACGACACTTAAAGTTAATCTATAAAATTACTCTCAACACATATTGAGATTTTGTAAGATCTCGATGTGTTTGGGGTTATATTATGTGTAATGATGTGAAATTTCTCTTTTTCCATTACAATGTGCAAGGTGGAACCACATGTTTCTCTCAATCACAACTTAATAACTTGCTTAAGCAGTTGGTTCAACCAACTTATTGCAAATGATTGCTTACGACTACAATTTAAAAATGGCATTGGATGAAATATTGTGTCACAAAATATGAAATTGTAATTCTTATATAAAAATGTCGAATCTTATCATATACAATGACTTTCACGTATTTTATATTACGAACACAATATGCTAAAAACACACAAGAAATCCTAAAAATATGAAGTGTTTATCCTATAATTAGAATACTGGGGACGTTCACATGAGTTTGTAGATTTCCAAATTATTTGGGGCTCGATAAATCTGTCCACCCACCACATAGAGCTCATTCCTTAGGAAGAAAGAAATAAAGAAAGTAGGGGGAGCTAATGGACTATCGTCATCATTATTGGCATTGTTATTGTTATTAGGGCATAATAGGTCTTTTCAAGTATGGGCGTGGATTATTATAGTCTGATTACCTAATTAGGTCCAATTAATAATGATTTACAAAACCCTCTAGGAACAGACACAGAGTCTTATTGTCTACTGTAATAAATTGTGGTCGAATTCAAGGGGCAAAATGGACATTTTGGGGTCCTTTCCAACCTGCATTTTGCTGGAAATGCAAGGAACAACAGAAAGGCAAGAATGGGCTAAAAGTAGATTCCCACTGCAGGATTGCACATGTTAAGTTATAGCAATGTTTAATTTGTCTGGCCTGGTTTAGGGACCCAATCATCTGATCTTTCTAGCCCTTGATGATTACCTTAATTAATTTCACAATAAAGAAAGCATTAATCCAGTTTTTAATTAGGATCATGATCTTGCAGGTTGTGTGTTTAGTTTAGTTTATATTAACCTGATCCAGTGGATTAAACCTGGACTCTTTTTTATTTGCATTGTTGGCAGGCTTGTATTGCTGTTGACGGTGTGATCAAGATTACGACTAATTTTAATAACATGATTTCACTGTAATGTTGTTGCTTGTGCAGCTGTTGTTGTCATTGTTAATTAGGTTTGAGAGATACCTTCTTTTGGTTACAAGGGTTTTTAATACTCGATTTTATATGAGTATTTCAATGAAGAGGTGTCACAAACACGAGATGCAGTGGCGGATCCACGTTGGGACAAGAGGGGTCGGACGACCCCTTGGAATGCTGGAAAGTTGGCAAGGGACTCCAT